TGTCTAGAGGGATGGCAATCAGAACACACGCGTTACCGCCTGTCACCCATGCAGCAGCCCTGCGGGCGGCTCCATCATTATCCCCGTTTTACAGATGAGGACATAGAGGCCCAGGGGAGTCGGGGAGCCTGGAGCTGCTCCATGTGGTAGTCAGGACCCAACTCCAAAACCTGCTTCTCGAGCTGTGGACCTGTTCCCCTGCGTGTTGATTCCCCTTTGCAGCCCAGTGCCTGGCATACAGTAGGCACTTAACAATGCATGTCAGCTGAGTAAGAAATCAGCAGCTCAAAAACAGAATAAGTGAATGAGTCTCCGGCCTCATTTTCCCCTCCTGCAAGAGGGCTTGGAAGGTGGGGGCGATGCTATCTCCTGTGGTCCCTTCTGCCTCTGGAACCCCAGTGTCACCCTGTCACAGCGCCTCTCAGGTGGCTTTCAGAGACCTTAGAGTCTTAGACTCTGACCCCGACTCCACACCCCAAGGCTTCTTGACCCCGGCCCACTTCTCCTCTGCTCGAACCAGACAACTCTTTTCCCCAACGGATTCCAATCCCCTTCTCCCTACAAGGCCTAGGCCCATCTCTCATAAAGGTGTCTGTCTGTCCGCCCCCCCAACCCCCACCCCACTGGTCCCGGCATCGTGGGCTCCTCAGCAATTCAGAACTTGTCTGAGAGCACCTTCGAGTGCAGCAAAGTTGAAAGAAAGCCATGTCCTATGAACACTCAGTCTGGACCAGCGGTTCTCAACCTGTGGGTCTCGACCCCTTTGGCGATCGAGCGACCCTTTCACAGGGGTCACCTAAGACCATCCTACATATCAGATATTTACATGACGATTCATAACAGTAGCAACATGAAAGTTATGAAGTAGCAACGAAAATAATTTTATGGTTGGGTCACAACATGAGGAACTGTATTTAAAGAGCCAGAAGGTTGAGAACCACTGGTCTAGAGTGGTTCTAGAATGGTCCGTCTAGAGCAGGGGTGGGCAAACTTTTTGACTCGAGGGCCACAATGGGTTCTTAAACTGGACCGGAGGGCCGGAACAAAAGCATGGATGGAGTGTTTGTGTGAACTAATATAAATTCAAAGTAAACATCATTACATAAAAAGGTATGGTCTTTTTTTTTTTTTTTTAGTTTTATTCATTTCAAATGGGCCGGATCCGGCCCGCGGGCCTTAGTTTGCCCACGGCTGGTCTAGAGTCTAGCCATTTCGAAGAGCGGCGAAGCCCCCAACAACTTTCTTATTAGATGAGCGTTTAGGTGCATTTCCCAAATTTCCGCCATTTTCAGAGCATCTTGACAACGTTCACCCAATCTTGATACCAGCTCTACTGCTTTTTAGTTAATATTTTTCTTTAAATAATCAACCTTAAGTTAATTCCTCTTCTCCTTTCCTTCCTGCCTTCCTCTCGTCCTAAGCAATGTCTGTGAGATCAGGCTGATGCTCCTGTCCTCTGGGGACCCTCTCCGATCACCTGCTTTGTCCCCGGGGAGGGGCACTGCAGTTTGGGGAAATACTGGATTTCAGGATTAGATGCTTTTTAAGCCACAGACTAACCTTTCAAAATAACCTTGGCGCATATTTCAGTCCGCCTGCTAGAGACAGCATTTTTAAATGATTTTACTTTCTTCTTTGTGCTCTCCCATTTTTATAGGAAGCAGTTGCTGCTTCTGTAACTAGAAACTATAAATGAATGTTGGACAATCACTAAGGCACCGTCTGCATTTTTCCAAACACGGAGAGTTAGGTGTAGAGAGATAGTGGGGTGAGTGCCCAGACGTTGGCCAAGCTAATCCAAGAGTGACTTCTGCGGGCTGACTTCAAGTTCACGCTCAGCCCTCCTTCCAATTGTTGGGCTTGGAGGAAATTTCGCCCCTCCTGCTTTTCTCCCCAGCAGCTGTCACGGGGTGTGTGTGGAACAGGAAACAGGATTAGAAGATTAACAGGGAGCCTGCCCGTGCAGCCTGGCTGTTATCGCGGCCGACTCGGGACAGTCACCTTCCTGGGACACTTGTCACTACCTGCGGCCACGGGGGAGTAGGGACCACAGCCCAGAATAAACTCTGAACAAGGGCGAAACTGGGAGCAGTGGGGAGTCTCAGACACATTTTACTGAGCCTGGACTAGGCACCCGCCCCTTTCCGCAGTCTCTCATATCTCCTACAAGGACCCTAGAAAGTGAGCACTGCATTCATTTACGCCGTCTTCACAGATGAGGGATCTGGGGCTCCGGGAGCGTCAATCGCTTGCCCACGGTCACATGCAGCGCGAGGATGCACCCAGGTGTGTCTGACTCCAACGCCTTTGGTTAGAGCCACTCTGCTTAGTCCCCTGTCCTTCCCACAGGCCACGTCCAGGGAAAACGGGGCACATGGCCTGTGCACTCCCCACCTGTCACTGCTGTGTCCTCTTGTTCCCAACACAGCTCCTAACACAGCCACAGAGACCCCCATGGCTCTCAGGCTGAGAGGTTGGACCCTGCCTGTCGATTACTGAGGCCGTCAATTACCAGCCCCGCCTCCTGGCCCCCATCTGCCCTGCCTACCAGGAAAGTCACCTAACCAAACCTTCCCCAGTCCACAACAGCCAGGGGCTGGTTAGGACAGCCCATTCAGACCAAACAGAGTCAGCTGCCTAAATATCTAACAGCGTGGCTAGAACTTCAGGGAGAGGCCCCAGGATCGCTGACATCTGAGCTCTTAAACTGTACCTCCCACCTGTCTCTCCCTCCACGGCCGCCACCTGTCCAATCAGCTCCCCACGCGCAGGGGCCTGGCCTGACCGGGAAAGCAGTGAGGGGTCCGGGGGGCAGATGGGAGTACACAGCCTGCAGCCCGGGGAAGCTTCTTGGAGGAAGGGACAGCTACAAGGTGACACTAGTGACGGGCAGGGAACGGCCAAGTGCAGGAGGAGCGGGCAAGTCTGAGGCAGACCGGATGTGTTGTTCGGAGGGACGAACGTCACCAAAAGAAGTGGGTTTGGAACTAGGTTGAAGCAGAGAGGAGGCACCTGTGAGGGACAAAGCAAGGGGCGCGGCCAGGCCGGGGCGGGGGGGGGTGGTGGTCATGCGTGTAGGGCTTGGGCAATCAGTGAGGAAGTCTGGGCCTCCTACTGAAAACAATAGGAGGCCTAGATGTGCTCGGTGTGGAGTAACCTAGTCTGACTTGTGCTTTACAAAGATGTCTTCAGGGCGACCCAGAGAATGTCTGGAGGCGAACAGGACCGAAGTCGGGTCTAAATAAGTTAGGAGGCTTGCGTAGGCAGGCGCAGTGGTGGTTAGAATAGACGGGCTGGACGGGGAAAGGGAGGTGAATCCTGAGATATGTTAAGAAGGTAGAATCAACACGACCTGGGAACTGGTGAAATTTGAGGGGTTGATTCAAAACATCGTAAATCCATGACCCCATGTGCTCTTGACTTAGTGGGGAGGAGGAAGGGAGGAGGGAGGGACTGGAGAAAACCCTTAGATCTCAGCTGGAACTGGGTGCCCTCCACCTGGTCCCCACGGCACAACCCGGACCCTTACCTGCTGGAGACAAGCCTTTGTGGATGGCTAGTCGGCCTGAAGGACTGGGCTCGGAGTGTGAACGTGGCAGGAATAAAAACTACCTCGGAGCCTAGGGCCACAGAGTCTGCCCCCCTCAGCCTTATGTGATATTTGTTGTCAACTTTTTTTCTGACCAGAGACTAAATCCAACTCCAGTTTCAAAATGTAGATGGGCTTAACGCCAAATGTTTAGCTACAAAAGTAGTGTACACGTGTACACGTGAAGATAATGACATTTTTATGTTTACTGAATACAGTTAATATACAATATCATATTAGTGTCAGGTATACAGAAAGTCAACACTAATACACCTAACGAAGTGATCACCGCACTAAGTCTAATAGCCATCATTGAAGGTTATCACAATGTTATTGACAATATTCCCTGTTGTACATTACATCCCCGTGACTTCTTTCTTTTATAACTGGAAATCTGCACCTTGCATTCCCCTTCACCCTTCTGCCCTTTATTTTTTAAAGTATGCAAATTAGATCTGGGAAGCCTGCTATCTGAGAACAGTTTCCACGGCATGTATTTCTAAACCCAACGTTAAAACCACCACATAGCTACGCCTTTCTCTCAGGTCTCTTGTCTCCCTTTGAGTGAGCATGTCTGTCTGTCTGCCTGACTCCCCCTTTCTGTGTCTCCCAGAAAAGGATAAGGAAAAGCTTCCTACGTGACCTCATTTTATTTTGAAACATGAAACCCACCACCAGGGGAAGGAAAAAAACACACTTTCTTGGTCACAGGGATCAAGATGTATTTCTAATTCTCTTGCCATATGGTAACTTATTTTGGAAACATATCAAGAGGCAGAGAGAGTGTTTGACGAAATTGGCAATCCCTTCAAATCAGACCAAATTCCCACTATATGCATTTGTACAGCCTCATCTATTCATCATATCAGCGACTGCGACCACAGGATATGTAAAAGTATGGAGTGATTTTTATCACCATCTCCCAATCCCCCGGTGCCCTGGACACCACGTGGTGTCGAGTTTGTCTGTATTTCAGCCCCAGGAAATCAAGTCGTTAACTTCCCTTTCATTGACCAAGAGCTGTTGCCAGAAAGAAAATCATTCATCAGCCGTGACTTATGGGGAAAAGAGAGAGAGGACTTCACTAGGAGGAGAGACGGCAAGGAAAGAGGAGCGAATGGTAGCTTTAGCCCCCTGGGCAGATGAAGGATGCCAAGACCTCGGTACATTCCACCCCCATGCTTCCAGGATACACTCTCCAGGTCGCCTGACAGAGGAAACCACATGTGAGGCCAATCAGCAAGTGGGACTCCAGGAGGCTCCTTTGCCTTCTGCTTGCTGGCTCTCAGGGCTCCATTTCTCCTTCCTGGGGGGCTGCTGGAGGGAGGCGCCTTGTGGCTGATGGCTCGCGGGGGCTGTTGGGGGGCGGGGGTATGTGGAGAGGAGGGAACCCAGGAACTCACGTTCTTACCTTTGCATTCTTGACATTCTATGCAGTTCCATATCGTCGCTGCCCCGGAAGCCTTTGGCGAAGGGATTGTTCTCGATCTTTAACTGGGTGATCTGAAGAGAGGAGAGAGTGTGATTGCTATGAGACAGCCTCGGGACATGAGCTAAGATGGTGCTGCATAAATGCAGCCTCTGGCAACCAAATATTCAGGCGGAAGCTTTGAAAAAATATCCTAGATGAGACTGCTTTTAAACAGAGAAAAGAACCGGGATTTGGTTTGCCCATTAATTCAAGTCATACTCAGCATCATTCTGGCCAGTCTGTTGCTGTTGTTGATTTTACTCTTAGCATTTTGTGTTCCAAACACCAACTAGGCCTCCCCGGCATCCACCTCCGCTTTGGAAAGGTGTGCGTGTTGGACCGTGTCATACATCCTGCAGCTGGCAGGCTCCACCCGGGCGGGCTGGCTTCCTGCTTTCCAAGTCCTGCAATGCCTCGAGTCCTGTTCATTTCTGTTTCACAGGTAGACTCTGCTAGCGCAGGTGGAAAACGCTGTCTAATTAAATAAGCACCAGCGGATAGAATTATAGCACATAGAATGGCTATCGAGCAGTTGCCAGACCTCTTTCACTTTTGAGGTAAGGAAGAAAGAGCCCTCTTCTTGGATACTTTTGTTGCAATGTACGAAGTTTAGTCTTAGAACAGGGCCTTTGGGTCAAGGCCCAGAACTTCCATGTCAACCGTCACACACATTCTATGAGGATGAGTGAACAGGAGCAGGTCCGGATGCGAGGGCGCCTCTACCTGGCATTTGCCGGAAGTATTTCCTGACAGCTGGGTGTGAATTAATTTATATGTATCAAGTCACTCTGTGGACATCGAGGTTCAGTCACTCACGCTTGACCTTCACGGTCACTGTCATCTAAATCACACCTGCACACTGGTCCGTTTAATATTTTCACTTAAAGCTCATCAGTCTTTACTTCAACTTATTTAGCACAAAATATTATATCACTTCTATGTCCAACCAGAATCACTTGCTATTCCACAGAAAGAAAGCAATGCTTTCAGTTCTCTCTACTGGTACCCACAGAAAGCTCTAAACCAGTGGTTCTCCACCTAAGGCCGCGACCCCTTTAATACAGTTCCTCATGTTGTGGTGACCCCCAACCATAAAATTATTTTCGTTGCTACTTCCTGACTATAATGTTGCTACTGTTATGAATCGTCATGTAAATATCTGATATGCAGGATGCATTTTCATTGTTAAAAATTGGACATAATTAAAGCATAGTGATGAATCACAAAAACAATATGTAATTATAGATGTGTTTTCCGATGGTCTTAGGCGACCCCTGTGAAAGGGTCGTTCGACCCCCAAAGGGGTTGCGACCCACAGGTTGAGAACCGCTGCTCTAAACGGAAGGCGGGCTTTCTCTTCGTTACAAGGGAAGATTAGACACCTTTCAATCACAAAAGAGTCCCAACTAAACTAAGACTGTCTTCCTGATGGCTGAATAAAGATAATCGAAAGAGAACAACTTCCTGTGACTCCATCATATTCATGTAACCCCCAAATCACCTCAATCTACCCCCACAGTATAGTTACAGATGCTCAGAATCTCTGTGTGGGGTGATAGATGAAGGCACCTTCTAATAGTGCATCTGAGGGCAGACAGTCTGGTATGTCCTGTTTTCTACAAGAGATAGCTTAGTAAGGTCTTCTAACTCCAATGCTCTATAATGAGCATAAACTTACTATGTATGTATACGCATGTGTTCATGATAAAAACATATGTAAATTGAATATTTAAAAACATGCTATATGATTCCAGTCATATGACATTTGGAAAAGACATAACTATGGAAACAGTAAAAAGATGTGTGGCTGCCAGTATTAGAGGGGAGGGAGGGGTGAGTAGGCAGAGCACGGGATGTTTAGGGCAGGGGAACTCTTCTGTATGACACTGTGGTGCCGGGCAGTGTCATTAAACGCTTGTCCAAACCCACAGAATGGACAGCACCAAGAGTGAACCCTCAGGTGAACTGGACTTCGGGTGATGATGTGTCAGTGTCAGTTCACTGACTGTAACAAATGTCCCCTCTGGTGGGGATGTCGATAGTGAGCAGGCTGTATGTGTAGGCGGGGGGGGGCAGGAGGAATGCAGCAAACCTGTGTACCTTCACTCAACTTTCCTGAGAACCTAAAACTGCTCTAAAAAAATCTATTACAAAAGTTTTAATATGTATGTATGCTTATTTATGTGTATACACATCACCTCCTCCCTCATCTTTTAAAAAATTATACCTATTCCTGCAGCTTTCTGATTTTGACTTGACTCTTCAGAGTCTACAAAATCCCTTTTAAAAAATGGTCTTTAAGCCCGGCCAGTGTGGCTCAGTGGCTGAGCATCGACCTATGAACCAGGAGGTCACGGTTCTATTCCCGGTCAAGGGCACATGCCGGGGTTGGGGGCTCGATCCCCAGTAGTGGGTGTATAGGAGGCAGCCAATCAATGATTCTCTCTCATCATTGATGTTTCCCTCTCTCCCTTCCTCTCTGAAATCAATAAAAACATATTTTTAAAAAACCCAAACAAAAAAACGGTCTTTAAAATGTGCACTCCTGAATCCAGTTCTGTTTCGAGTCTAAAAGCCTAATGGGGCTTTCTTTCCCACTCAGGTTTTGTCACAATAAAATCCAACCCACTTGACCATAAATTCCTTTTTTAAAGAGGGGGTGGGGAGATTCTCAAAAAGTCAAGTAAAAATCCCATCACTGACGATCTACTTAGAAAATGAGATCTTGCCCCACGCCCTGCGCCCCTCCCCTGCAGTCCCTGAAGCCAGTCCCTGAGCGGACCGAAGACACATGGGCTGTGGCCTCAGGTCTGAACGAATGCCCAGTCCGTGATGTCACTTCTCTCCTGGGAGCTCGGGACAAAACTATCTCCTGAGAGAAGAAGAAAGGGGTGGATTTGGATATTTTATCAGGCAAAGTATTTTGCTCAAACCCATTTCTTGCCCCTCAAACAGTTTACTTCTACCTAATTCTTGCGCCGATCACCACAGCTTCCAACAATGTGGCTGCATAGGGTAAGCGCGATGTGTTCACAGACACTAAGGTGTGTTGATCTTGCGTACATCTTGCTTTGGAGACTGAATACAGGTCCTATAGCACATAAGAACTACCCCTGAGGAATGTGAGCATCCAGGCTGAGCTCAGGTGAGAATTCCGTCTTATTTCCCATATGTCCACCTTATTTCCTAAGAACAATGTCTTCTTTATGTCGTCCATACAATAACCTGTCCTTGAATTTGCCTTTGCATGTGCTACCTGTCAGCTAGCTCACTCGCGGGTGCACAGACACACGGACAGATGCACCGTGATGTCCCAGTTCTACCCAAAGGCTCCCCTGCAACTGACTCCATGCTCCCTCTGCTTGAGCATAAACCGGATATCCGGGGGCGGGCTGGGGGGCGGGGGGAAATACAAATATAAATGCCAGCTCCAAGCAGTGGGACAGAGGTTGTAAAAATTAATGAGAATAATTGTTGGGAATTCTTGCTTTTGAAAAAAAAAAGAAAAAACCCTCACGAGGGCCAAAAATCTTAATTATGTCTCTCTATTAGGGGTTCATTTCCTGGTCCCAACCAGAAAGCTCATACCTCATAAATACAGGCTCCTTGCACAATGATTTAAGCAGGAGGAAAATGCCTTTTAATGGCAAAGTAAGTTAATATCGGGGGACAGACGTGCTCGCATACATAGCCATTGTTGCAACAGCAGGGAAATGAAATGCCCACGTGACCTTTTTTTAACACCTAAATATTTCTAGGGATTGCTCCGGGAGCTGCTGACAACTCCAGCAAAAACCTTACAAAAACGTGTTTCACGGAGCGAACGTCGCTGGGGAAGATTCGAGTTTTTTAAATATCTTTTTCAAGCTGTCAACCATCTGGGGAAATAACTCCCAAATCCAGCTCGGATCGCAGCTGGGCTGAGGAAATACGTCGTGTCACTAGCAGCCCGTGGGCACCCGGGGCGTGACTGCCGCCTGAGAAATGAGTCCTGTCACATACCTGCCTCCACCTGGTACCTGGGCCCACGCAGACACCCTTGAGCCCTTTTGGCCAAAACTAAATAAATAAATAAGCAATCGGAGGCTCCTGTTTTCCCGAATTGCCCTGGGAAATTAACCACCCGATTGCTTTTCTCTCCCTGCTCATTTACCCAAAGCATCATGCTGGGCAGACAGTCCTGGAATTGATGACACGATCGGTGAACGAACGAAGCCCCAAAAACTAACCTTTTGTGGTTTTGCAACCACAGTAATAAGAACTCAGTGAAAATCTCAGTCGTTCAGATTCTAAGAAAGTCGGGGTAGGAAAGAGTTTTCCAGAGCCGGCCTTTTGGATGGAGCGAGCTGCCCTCTGAATATATCCATCAGCGACGGAGCCAGTCAATGGGATTGTCACTAACACTCCTGTGCCAGCGTCTGCGCCACACCCTTCCCTGGATTCTCATGGAATCCTCACGAGAACAACCAGTAAACCTTCTCCTGTCCCCATTCTACAGGCGGGGAGAGCTGAGTTCAGCAACGTGCTGGGTTAAATGACTCTGAACCCAGGCCGTCTGCCCCCCCGAGTCCCACCTGAACCCGAAGCAGCGGTGAAGCTCAGGCGGCTTCTACCCATGAAGTCAGGGCCTCCACGCGAGGCCCAGGTGGCACAATAAAGCCACAGACAGAGTCCGCAGATCACCCTCAGCCTGGCCCGCCGACGGAAATCACACATCACCCATCCATGCGGGCACGTCTGCAGCGGCCCTGGACTTGAACTGGAAAACTGAACTGCTTTGCACTTCCTCCCCACAAAGAACATAGGGGCCTTGCGTGCCCCCGACTGAAGTGGGGGAGACCTCACCGCAGGGAGCATGACAGAAAGCTGTCTCCCACGAAATCCCTCTGCCAGGCTGGCTGAAAAGACCTAAATAAATGTCCAGCTCAACGGGGTTCCCTGGACCAACCAATAAAGAAAACAGGCGGTTCCTGTGTGTGGTCACCAATTCCGAAATACCCACACGCGTATCTGGAGATGCACGTGTGTAGATCCGTGAGCATTTACACACACCGTCTCCTAGACGCGGCTCGAAACTCACACGCACACCCCCACTGGACAAGCTCCTTCATGCAGGCAGATCAATAAATATATTCTTTGGAGAAGACTTTTTTTTTTTAAGTAGAAATACTACAGGGCACACAGATACCAAATTATAGCGTCATACATCTGAAATTTATATGTTAGTAACCAATGTTACCCCAATTTAATTTTCAAAGATGAGAAAAAGTAGAAAATGGGGGTGGGGGGTGGGTATAGTCACAAGTGGTTATGGCGCTAGTTTCCTGAGTATATGCATGTGTCAAACTAATCAAATGTGTACTTGCAATATTCCAGTTTATTGTGTGACCATCATGCCTTAGTAAAACTGCAAACAGAACTTTCCCCTGGATGCACCTTTGTGGTGGTGACTACACACAGCTGAGGCGTCTCCCCCAACGGGTCTGACCATCCACGTGTCTCTAGCAGGCCACTGTCCTGTGTCCACCACTTCCTTCCTTTCTGTGTGAAGCTGGGCTTTCTTGGGGGAGGGGGTATATTCGATATATTTTTGGACCCTTTGGCGGCCCAGCAGCCTTTGAGAATATATATATGTGGCAGGGAGCACCCTGGCTGCTACTGTTTCCACGCTTCTCCCTGTGCCTGTCACCACAAGCTAAAGGGATTTGCAGCAGCGACCGGGAGACAAGTTCCCAGTGGCCAGACTCCAATTTGCCCGAAATGGTTGTGCAGCTTTCAGGGTTTTTAGTCTTAACGTTCTGGCTCTTGTCAGTTCAACCGATGGGAGAACTCAGCCAAATCCTCTTTCCCTTTAAAAAGTCATTGCATTTTGGAGGCGAGCGAGGTTTCTTCGGGAGGGAAGCTCTCTCCAGGCCTGGGTTCCCAGACAGGCCTTGTGGCCTGGAGGGGCTCATCCATCACAGCCGGCCTGTCGCGGACACTCTGAATGTGGAGCTGACCCACAGCATTCTCTAACTACCCGGCTTCCGGGGCTCCCCTGACACCCAGTACAGCAATGACCTCCACGGGGTGCCTGGGAGTTGCAGGGTGCTCTCGCCCTGCTGGCCACCCTCGCCTGGCCCCACAGCTCCTGTAACTTCCTTACCTCGTAGATGGGGATAGGACCTGTGGAGGGGGCGGGGCGTCCCATTCCCAGGTCCATCGCCTTAAGTTGTCCACGTGACCCACCCTCCCTGATCCCATATGGAACCTTCTACTTTCCCCACAGCAGCCCTCTAACCCCAAATCACTGCTTAATACTCTTAACAGTCCACACCGCACAGCAGCTGAGGCCCCTCTGAGCACCCACATCTTGCCTTGTCAGGTTCCAGATCTTTCCATAACAAGCCTTAGGAATCATTCAATCCCCCCCAACACAATGAATCGCCCCCTTGAGTTTCTAAAGAACAGACATGAACCATGACAAGTCAAGACAGCCCTGACTCCTGGGCAAGAAGAGATGATGCTCCCCCGACCTGTGGTTATGAGGCGCCCTGTTCCAAGGTCACTGCCAAGCTTTGAAATGCCCACATCAGATGCTGGATTTCGAACAGCACAGCGTGGGGTCTGGCACCATCCCACCTCTGCCCCAAGCTACAGCCACCTTCTCCCAAACAACGCACTGACCATTGCCCGCGAGCCCAGCGTGACCACCTCACCAAGCTGTGGTTTTGCAGGATCCTAGCTAAGTCCTGGGAGTGTGGTCCAGGCTGCTGGTGGCCGAGCTTGCTCAGTTTGTGTTTTTGTTTTTGTAACAATGCAAACCTTGCTTTAGCATGTGGGGTGGGGGGAGGGGGGGATCAGAAATCGCTGAAACCAATTAGAGAAGCATCTGGAAAATCCAAGCCCAAGGTTTCCGGCAACCTTGCCACCTGCCCAGATTGGAGTTGAAATGCATCCAAAAGGCAGAGGGAGGGAGGGGAGCAGGAGTCTGGTCTCCACAGAAACGTGGCCCCAGGAAGGGCGGCCGGGCCCCACCCAAGAGCATCGGCCATGGGTGAAGTGGCCTCTCTTCTCACTGAGAATGTCTGGGGTGTAGTGGGTGCCTCCTCGTTGTAGCTGAGTGCGATAAGTTTGTTTCTAACTGGGGTGTGTGTGTGTGAGAGAGAGAGAGAGAGAGAGAGAGAGAGAGAGAGAGAGAGAGAGAGAGAGAGAGAGAGAGGAGTCTGCCAAACCCATGGATATAGTACAAAAAAGCTACAATCCTCAGGCCATGGCTCTGCCCCAGGCCCAACCCCTGGAGTAGACGCCGGTGCCTGCCGTGCTGAGCGGCCCAGAGCCTGCAGCTCCAGCCCGACACCCCTGCAGAGTCAGGGACCAGCAGCCCCCCCTCCCCCCCCAACGGGTTCCCGGGCCCTGGACTTACCTTGTGATTCTGGTAGGAAGTCACCGCGATAAACGCCGTCTCAGGAAAGACGTGGGTGCAGAAAGCAGTATTTTTTGAGCCAAATCCATTATTTTCGTCAGCTTTCACGATGTGTAATCTGGGCTGGTATTTGTGCATGGAATTTAGAATAATCTAAAAATAATAAAGAAAATGAGACCGTAAGAAAAATGAAAACCCCTTTGTTTCCAGATAAAACCCCGCACTCTACCCCCAAAATGAGCCTCCTCATATAGGCGCTCGAAAAATAGTCCGATTTTTCCCCTCCTGTTTTGAAAAGGGTCCAGTGATTTCATTAAAAAGAAACATTTCAAAAATGACAATTTCCAACCGAAAAAGCCAGGGTAATATTCCAGGAATCTACCCAAAGCACACAGGGCAGTAAATCAGAATTCTTAATAAAGTTTGCTTAATAAATTAACTCCCTACGTAAGGCACTTTCGCCCCAACGGGAGCGAAGCAAGTCGGGAGCAAGAACTGCGCCCCCCCCCCAAAGCCTGGTGACAACTTTTGGAATTAAAGAGGAGAAGAAACAATCAAACATACAAATAACTCTGCCCCCCCCCTCAAAAAAAAAACACACACACACAAACACAACTCTAAGAGATGCAGAAGAGAGGCAAGAAGCGTTTGCAGAACTGGGATGAGAATCATGGGCTTGGCTCTTTGGAGAACCGACAACCTGTGAGTCAATGAAAAAAGAAGAGGATGGGGTGGGGGACCCTAAGGACGGCGAGATAGGGGAGCCCCTCCCCATGCACCATCAAACAAGGCCGCCCCGTGGTTCTCCTTCTCCAGCTTTATCAGCATTTCAGGATCCACAGCCGGAACCACCTCCAGACCTGGCCCAGACGGAGCTACGGCCTCGGCTTCCTCGGCCTATTCTGTCTCCGTCCTTTCTGCTTCGCGTTTGGGGTGCTCCCGGAACAGCGGGGTCTGCGGATGTGGCTGCGCTGCCATTCCCACCGCTGGGAGGGGGCAGCCGGCACGACCACTCACCGAGAGGCGCCGCCTTCCTAAGGAACTAGCTTGCGGGCTCCCAGAGGCCGTGAACGCTGATGCTTTTGAAAAGCGTTCTCACCTGCACCCACCGAGAGGCCGCGCGCCGCGGGCTGAGAATCCTGCCTGCAGGCCGGAGCGGCGCGGGGGTCTGGGGGTCTGATTATTTGCACTGATGGCCCTGGGGCAGGGCTCTGGGGCCATCGCTAGAGACCGGCCTGGAGGAGGGGGAGGGCCCCTGCGGCTCCCGGCTCCCGGCCGCGCGGCTCTAATCTCGGGCCTCCGCAGCCCGGCCGCCGGCCTGGCCGATAGCGACGCCGGCCCGGGCGGCCTGGCGACAGAGAGACGCAAAGGGGGCCTCGCGCGGCCCCGGCGGCGCGGCCATCGGCCCGGCTTAGCCAAATTGCTTTGACGGCCGGGGACGGCGGAGACATCAGCGCGCGGGCGATCTGATGGCCTCTAATTTCATCAGGGCGCTCGGCTCGGCTCTGGACGCAGAGCCGGAGTTCGCGGTGGGAGTGCGCGGCAGCGCGGAGTCCGGAGCAGCTCGGAGCGCGCTCTCTCTTCCCACCGGCTCCTACGGCCCTGAGACTCCCACGATGCCCGGAGCTGGGGGGAGGGGCCCTGAGCCTTCCCCAGGGGTCCCCCACCCCCACCCCAGCGCGACTGCGAAGGCGCGTCAGAGCCGCAGAGGGAAGGCTAGGAGCCCAACTGGGGCCGCAGGACAGTCCCGCTTCCTGCCACCAGGATCCCACGCAGGTCCCCACACTAGGGCCCCAGCTCCAGAGGGACGCAAGGTGCGTGCGGGACCTTCACAAAATAGCCCGCCTCTCCCCAGCGCTTCCCCGCAATGAATGGCTCAGTACCCGCAGGTACGCTGCCCACCAAGCTCCAGATTGGCCCTGCTCTCCCGGGCAGCAGCGGGCTTGCCAGAGGCTAGAGACAAAGCCCGTCTGCACCCTTTCGAGCGCTCCCGACCACGCGGAGAGGGCCCGGCCTCCCTGGTCCCTGCCCCAGTGGCCCGCAGTTCAGGCTGCCACCAGCCACGCAGAGAGCGGCTCTGAGCGCGTCCATGAAGGGCCTGCTGTCCCCTTCCCACCTGTGCCCACGGGAGAGGTCTCATTTGTACCTTCACCAGCTACCCTCCCTCCCGCTCAAATCCGTTCCCACCCAGTCCCCTCACGTCCCCAAATCGGGGACCACGTTTCTGGCCGCTGTGTCTAAAGAAACCTAGCAGGACAGGGAGCCCTTTGGGGACTGGAGACCCAGCCTCACATCCTGTCCCCAAATCCCAGCTGGAGGACCTTGGCAAGTCCCCTCCCCTTCCTGGACTCCCAGTCACAGAGGCTGCGTGGACTTCTGTCCTCGGCCCCTCCCTAGGCTGCTATGAGGATTAAATGCCCCAAGACCAAGGAGCTCTGAGGGTTGCAAACACTGAATTCACAGGCCGTTTTCTGTCCTGGTGATGAATTCTTTCCAACAACGCATTTTAGGGGCGTTTTTCTAAAAATCAGTGTTTTGTTCTCCATTTGTTTTTCTTCGGGGAAGACAGGGCGGTGCCCTCTGGGGCATTTGCTCAAACTGCACATCTCCTGGAGGGTGGGGTCTGCACGCTCAATATCCCGTATGCAATGCCAGGGGCTGGCCAGTCCCCTCGCTCTCAGGGCCCATGGGACTCCAGGTTTAGGACAGGCCCAGGTTTGCCCGCTGTGGGCATTGTGGGGAGGAGGAAAGCTGGAAGTTGGGGAAAAACAGGTCTGCCAGAAAGCATCGCTCTAACAGGAGCAGGGGCAGCAGCATCTGCCGCGCTGGGTTGGTCTGCCCGCTGTGAGAGAGGGGGCAGGTGGTCGGGCACCCTCTGGGCTGGAACACCCCAACACTAAGGCAGGCTTTGGGAGGGGGTGGGAAAGGAGTGTGGCTCCCACCGCGGTCTGGCCTCTGAGCTGGGTGCCCACTGGGCGAGTGTGACCATGGTTTGTTTTTTCCTGTGGGACTGAAACCCCCACCCCCACCCCTAGTCACAGATGGGACTGGGCACAGGCCCGGTTCCCAGCCCCGGGGCGTCCAGGCCTCCAGGCCGGGAATGTGCAGCTTCAGTCACAGCAAGATCCCCGGTCTTAAGCCAAGGCCGGGGCTGGTGGCAGGGACGCTGTGTGAGAACCAGGCCCCACCTCCATCCACCCAGGAAAAACGGACCAAAGCATGGGATAGAGGACCACAGGGAGGACTGCAGAGGGCAAACCGTGGGCGGGGGGCGGGGGGGGAGAGCGGTGGGCACGGAGAGGGGCTCGAGAACTAGAAGGCAAGAGAAACGAGAGACAGGAAGAAGAGAAAGGAAGATCAGATCCAGAAAGGGGGGAGGGGGGCAGAGACCAAGGGGTGAAATAAACGAAGCCCGGAAAGGAGATGGGTGGGTTCTAGAAGCCAAGGAAAGGGGGCGACGAGAGAGATGGACCTGAATGTGCTGGGCTGGGCTGCACCCGGTACTTACATGCCCAAACGGGTCCAGGTGGTTGTTGGTGAGCTTGAGCTTCTGGAAGGAGACGAGCTGCCGCATCCAGTGCGCCCCGGTGGCCGGCGAGTCCGGGTGCACGTACAGGCGGCCCGGCATGGCGGGCTCCGCTTTGCCAGTCACCGACCTAAACCAAGGAACCAGCTTCAGCACACGTGGTGCAGGCGGTTCACGCCAGGCCCGGGCTGCTGAGCGTGAGAATGGCCTGACCCGCAGGTCTCCCTGGCCCTGCGCTGCCCTCCAGACAAGCTGCCCTCTCTGGCTCTTTTTCCTCCACCGAATCCTGCCGCCCCCAGCACCGGGGGTGCGAGGGCCTAGCAGCGGCAACTTCTCGCTGCCCACCAACCATCGCGGGTTCTGGGAGCCTGGGCGGGTGAAAAAGTCTTGGAAAACTCCTGAGGGCTTTCAAAGGGGGCTTCCTCTTCAGGCCTCTGCACTCTTGGCAGCTGCGGAAAGATCTACCCACGGAATGGGCCTCGCTCTCTGCTCTTGCCTGTTTTACTCAAATACCATGGGCCGATTTTGCAATTTCATAAAAAGGCATGTTCAAAGCGGGTAACTCATAAAAAGTAACTGTAAATGGTTTTATGCCCCCAAATACCTCCAGCGCTTGGTAACAATACCCTTTTGAAAAATCGACAACCCGCGGGTGCAGCGGTGCACACAGGCCGGTTACTTCCTCTGAGCCTCAGTTTTCTCATCTCTAAAATGGGGGCTAATCGCTGCTCTTTGGCCCTTGGGAATGAGGTCAAGGAAATGCAATGGGAAGGCAGCAAAAGCCTCTGTGCAAGGTAGGACCTCAGACAAGGCGGCTGGGTCCGTGGGGGGAGCGCCCTCCCCACCTGCCACTCTGGTGCCTACCATTTATTATCTGCAAACTTGTATCTGTGGTCGTCGGCGGGGACGATGTCCATGAGGAGAATGTACTTCGTTTTGGGATTAAGGCCAGTCACCTTCACTTTGTAACTGGGAAACATCCGCCTGAGAGGGGAAGGAGGAAGAATCCCGGAAGAGAGTGAGGGAGGAGAGAGGAGGGGGGGGGGAGGGAGAGAGAATGCATATGAATTAAAGCTAATAAGAAGAGTATGTCCACAAATTTCGATGGACGACCCCTTTAGAAACGTGAAAGACAAAAGTGGCCCCGGCTCCTCTCTGGAGATCCACCCCGGGTTTCCCTTGCAGTTACGGGGAGGAGAGAGGCTAAGAAAGCCGCTGGCTGGCCACTAGGTCCAGGCAGAAAATAGAAAGCAGGAGGCAGGGCTCCTGGAGAGCGGGGTTTGAAGGCGGCCTGCGTGGGACCCCCATTTCCACGCCTGCTTCAGGCTCTTTCCAGAGCCAGACACCTATTTTTTAAATTGGGGGCAGGAGAAGGCTTCTTAGGTAAAAAGCTGGCCTCCCCCTCCACCCAGCCAGGTGCTTTGGCCCATCTGGGCAGCGCCCCATGTCACGTGGGCACCCTGGTGCGTGTGCCCTAGGGACTGAGCACAGGTGGGTGCCCACACAGGCCCTGTCCCGGCTTCAGTCCTCTGCCCCCAGAGAGTAGCTCGGTTGGGGACCTCTACCAAGCCTCGCAGGAACGCATTCCTAAACGCCCCACAACCCCTCCCGGGCACTCTTCCTTGGAGAGTCTAAACCCCTGGGCCCTCAGCAAAGAAATTAAAAATCCACCCAGATTTGGTTTCAGAAAGAGGATTGGGTGGTTGTGTCCCAGAGCGGTGGGCGCTGTGCTCTCTCCCCAATTCCCGGCCGCCTCGGGGAGAGTGCGCCCTGAAAAGGAAGCATTTTAAAGGCTCTCGGGGTGAGGGCTCAGTGGCCGGATCCCAGGCCGCTCAGGGCTGGCGGGCAGGGGAGCCGTGGAGGGGAAGCCTGGGTGTTTATCTGGCCGAGTGAGTGCGCTCAGAGGCGGAGGGCGCGAGGCCCGCAGGCCTTTTATAGTGAAATCCTCCGGGCTCTGGCCATGGCTTTCCTGCCCGGGCGGAATGGGAAGAAAACCTTAGTTCTTTGGTATAAACAGAACGCGCCTCCTCGTTCACCCAGGCCGAGCGGGGGAGCAGACATTGTTTAATTTCAAATAATAATAAATGTCACTGTTGTCAGTTTATTGCGGGAGGCTTCGGGCTGCAGAGCCCGGGGCGTCTGGCGGGGCGGCTCCACCCTCCCCCTTCACACACTGGGCGGCTCGGGCCTACCGGCCTCCCCGGCTTCACACGCCGCCGGTTCTGGGGCAGCGCGGGCCTTTCTGCCCTTGGGGACCCGGAGGGCCAGTCCGGGACGGGGAGCGATGCGACCAAGCCGTCCCCAGGCCTGGGCACCCTCGCGGCACTCTCACGCACGGAGATAAGACCCTGCACGACTCTCCCACCCCTCCCCCGGAGGCTAGCATTCCCAGCTAAACCTCCACGAGCTTTAAAAGGGAACTGCAGGGCGAGTCTCCGGCGGGCGGGCGAAACTGCCATGTTTATCGGTGTCTGTATATAGAGCCCGGCCGAGCCCCGGTTCAGTTTCAAAGGCTTCGCCTGCGTTCTATAAACAATGAAAGAGGCAGCGAATACACCCAGCGATTCAGACTCGGCCACGGGGGACTCTGGAACCTCTCCAAGGTCAGGGCCGGTGGGAAGGAGGGTGGAGGCGAGGGAGCCAGTCTGAAACCCGGTCGTCTCTGAGTCCTCCCTGCACCTCTGTTTTCCAGTCTTCGCTCCCCTCGCCTCTCCTCCTCTCGTTACTATTGCATCCACAAAGCACAGCCTCCCCGCCTCAGTTCTCCTTACATAAGAGGTGGAGGAAATGCCGGGCTGCAAGAAATACCTGTTTCCGCAGCTGGCCCTTCCGGGTATTCCCCGCTGACTGACGGAGGCCCTGGGGGCATTCTCCAGGCCTCTCTGTCGCTGTCTCTCCCCGTCTCCCCCAGCCATCTTCCCTTCGTCTTTCCTGCACTCTCCCAGCTTCCCCGCTGCCCTTCGCAGAGGCAACTGCTCACCTGCCGGCCTTGGTTATGATCATCTCCGTGCCCACTTCGTGGAATTTCAGCCACAGCTCTCTTTCGTGGAGAAACACCTTGATCCCTTCCATGCCCTGGAGGAAGGAGAGAAAAGTCACATGGACAAGCCCGGGATGGTGGGCCTTCGCTCCCCAAACTGGCCCCAAACACGGACACTTCTCCTCCTTCAGCTCAGAGGCTGAGAACTGTCCCCGCTCACTGTAGTCCCTGGGCTGGAGCACCAGGCAGCCCGGGCCCAGGAACCCCCATAGGTGCTCCATGGGGGGGGGGTCCTTCTAATGTCACCTACACCAGCCTAGAGGGGACACCCAGCCTTGGGGTGCTCCAGAATGTCCCATGGGGGACAGGCTGAGGATGCAACTAAAGAAACCACTCCATCTCAAAACACCACTCAGGCTGTCCTCACGGAGGCTCAGAAGCCCACGGGCAAGCCTACAAGCACGCGAACACCGTAGGCGCGTGAGTATTCTCACCACGCAGCGCCGATACAGACACGGGTGCGACTCTAGATTTTAAAACATTTACAGATTGTAACAGGTACCCGCAGTCCAAAACAAAGATGCCTTCTCCAGTGTCTAGAGTAACAAACCTTCTAGGCTCTCCGCACGCCCAGCTTCCTTCCCGCAAGCTGTTTTCATTATGAGCACCGCTTAAGCCACTTAACATTTCCGCTTTCAACTAAGAGTTACTTCACAAAAGCGACGCAAAAAAATTATATACAAAGTCTTCGTTTTGCAATAATCCATAAGTAAGTGAATTTGCTTTTCTGTAAAAAGGGGGGATCTAGGTTCCCGAAACTGCGTGTCCATTCTCGCTGCTTCTCTACAAACAGACATATTTTCCCTGAGACCCGTGAAGGGCAAAGCACAGAGGCGATGAGCTCGTCAGGAAGGACGACAACATCCCCAAGAAGGGCTTTCGCTCCCTCCAATACCTTTTCTGGTGAAGCCACCCGGCTTCGCGCCCCCTGACAGCTTGTTTAAAATCATGGAGGTCTACCTGGGCCCCAGCCGGCTTCCAGCCCCGCGAGTCCGTGGCTCCCTGCGCCCTCCTGCCCTCCAGGCACAGCCCTGCGCAGCCAGCCGGCCAGGCCCCGGGCGCAAGACAAATGGTGCGCCCCTGGGCTCTGGGCAGCTCGGGGCGGCGGCGCGAGGAGGCGGGCGGAGGCGAAGGCTACGGAAGATCTGAGGAGGGGTCAAGCCATCGCTCACGCTGGCCTGAAGCGGCCGCTGACCTGGCCCTTAATGAGGCGCTCAGGGCCCAGCCTACACCTAGTGCATCAGGCAGAGGATCTGCGTTCTTGTTAGTTGGCCCCAAATAGCTGGGTAATCAAGGCTTCTCTAGCAACTCAGTGTATTTAAAAACCCTACTGCCACAAAGATAATCCTCAGAATAGCGTGGATTGGAATAGACTAGTATCGGGGGAGGCCGGGCAGAGGACGGTGTGACTAAGTGGGGATAGAAAGGAAAGAGCACAATTAGGGGCAGGGGGCGACCCACCCCCGCTCCCCCCCAAAGGGGCTTTGGTTCCGGCGGAAGGCCCCTAAGCTGGGTCTCCTTACCTGCTGGGTGAAGGCGGCCTGTGGGGACGATGGGGACTTGCTGGGGGCCCCTAGCGTGCTCTCTGGCTTTGAGTCACAGGGGAGATCCTTTGAGTCAGGTTCCAGGGGTGTGTGCGCCAGGCCAAAGCCCTCGTCTGCGTCGGCCATGGTGTGCCCGGGGCCCTGTGACCGCGCGGGGTCCAGCGCTGTGGACAGGAAGCAGAGACGGAGAAAGAGAAAGAGGGAGAGAGAAAGAGAGAAGGTTGGGAGTGCAGTACAAGTGACAAGGGGCAGCTGGAGCCCCACTTTCCAGCTACCAGCACCTCGGTTCCCAGCGGAAGGGGGCTGCAAAGGTCCCCTTATTCGTATTGTTGCTATTACTTTATGATCACGCACAACCACCTCGCGTCAGACCCGGAGGAGGCAAGCCCGCATCTGCCCTGCGCAGGCCCCCCTGGATAAGCCAGCTGCCCGTCAAATTTGTCTGGACTTCTGGAAGAGCCAATAAAGATAAGGCCTGGGTATTTTTGGAAGCCATTGGGTAGGAACCAGAAACAAAACAAAAACCTAGTGTCCTTTGGAGAATTTTTTTTTCTCTCCGTCGAATTACAGGAGGTCATCAGAGCTGTGTCTCTGAAAACCCGCAGGTTCCGCAGGCAGCACGGCTGCGGCTGAGCAACCCGCCTCTTGCAAAACCAGCCACTTCGGAGGGGAAAGATTTGCAGAGAGAGCATTCGCGTTCATCTTTTATCTGGTTCAGGCCTTAAAATTAAAGGTCCTTTAAGCAGTCAGAGTCCTCCCGTCTTCCTCCACCTTCAGTACCCTTAAGAACAAAAAGCCAGCCGGGCAGGGAAGCGCCGCCGCCGCCGTTCCGAGAGAGCCGCGCTCCCGGGTGCGGGCGGCCCGCGCTCTGCCGCCGCCCGGGGCGCGCGTTCGCCGGCTTCCTCCGCCCTCCAGCCCGGGGTCGGGCATTTTGTGGGGCCGCCAGGCCGAAGGGAGCTCCTCCGAGCTTCAGCCGGGCCTGGTCTCGGGAAGCGCAGGCCCAAGCTCGGCCCTGGCGAGGACACAACGGCCCCGGGCTTCGGGCGTGGACTCGGGCCGCCTCGGCCCCACGCAACGCGCAGAGGGGCCCGGGTTTGCAGGCACCGGAGGCTGGAACGCACAGAACAGCAGCTGCAGCGCTGTTGCAGCCGCGGGGAGCCAGCCTCCTGCTCCCAGCGCCTTCCGAGCTCCCAAGTAGGAATTTCCTCCCTCGAAACCCGGGAAGACTGAAGGCGGCGCAAGGCATGGCCCCTCCGCTCGCAGCAGCCTCTGGAACCAAAAGCCGAATCCCATCCCAGTCCGCAGCGACCGGAGACCCAGCTGCCCAGGCCCCACTCCCCAGAGCTTCCCTCGCCGCGCCCTGGGGTTTTCGGGAGGCAGCGAGGGGAGCCCCGCCATCCGCTCCCAACAAAAGATAGCGGGGCTGGCGTCACCCACGTGCACTCCCAGCACCACCGGCCGCGGGGACAATCCCACCCCCGCGCCCTTGCCGGGATCCCGGGAGCTCGGGGCTGGCGGAGGCGAACAAGATACGGTTTGACAGAACCAGGCCGCGCGTCCTGGAAACCACCCCGCTCCCCCGGCCGCCGCCGCCGGTCCCGGGAAATCTGCGAGACGGACTCCGCGGAGCCCAGTGCGGGGCGGCAGTACTGCCTGGCGCGCCTCCCTGGGCCCACTCGCCGGGGGCTCCCTCCCGGGCCAGCCGCCGGCCAGGTTACCTCGCTCGGTGAAGCCGGTGCATTCACCACCTCCCTGGTGCTCCTAGCAGGGCAGCCGGCCGCGCGGAGGCGGGGGCGCCGGCATGGTGGCTCCGGGTTTACGCGGGGGGCTGCGCGCGGACCAGAGGCTGTGCTGCCTGCGAAGGGGCACCCAGCGCGGCAGCCCGGCAGCCGGCCCACGGCCAGCGCACACCTCCGCTCTGCGCCGCTCTCTCCCTAAAGACTTCCAAGCTGTCAGGCGCCAGAAGGGCTCCAAACAACGCAAAACAGCAGGGGGGTGGGGGGGCTCAATAGGATAAGCCCGGTGGCCTGCTCCTCCCGGGAAGCCCCAGGAGGGAAAGTGGGGAGACCCGAGGAAGCCGTGGGAATGGTCCAAGTCCTCTCTGAGCGCCGCTTTCAGGGTTAAAGTTCCGGAATCCGAGGTAAGATATTTCTCTCTCCTCTCTCTCTCTCTCTCTCTCTCTCTCTCTCTCTCTCTCTCAGAAATACAAGCCGACTCAGCTGAGCTCAGTGACGTTGGGCTGCCTTGATGCTTACAAAGTACTGGAATTGCCTATCCAACTAGCTCCTCTCTCTCCCTCTCTCTCTCTCTCTCCCCCTCTGCCTCCCTCCTTCCTCCCTCCCTATCCCTTCCCACTCCCTCCCCCAACCACATTTTCCATTAGATTTCCCGAACACTCACATCACAACACGACTCTCAAACCCAGACCTGGAGATCACCCCCTCCTCTCCACCCCCTTCCCAGCGTCCATCCATCTCTGCTGCTCTGAGTGCGGCTCGGTGGCTGCAAAAATTCCTGCACAAATCATCGCAAACCAGCCGGCTTCTGCCCGGGAAGTCATCTCCGTGCCGCGGGCCGGGCCGTGCAGAGAGCGGAGTCTAAATGCAAGACGCGTGCACACACGCCGGCGCCTCCTCTGCAGCCTCACCCGCGTTCTCTTTCCAACGCTGACCTCAAGAGGGAGAGCGGCGTGACCCCGCCTGGCCCAGCCGGCAGCTAGCCGCCCTGACATCTCTCCCCCTCCCCACTCATCACCCAGACTCTCAGTGACTCTGGGGTGAAGGCAGGGTGAAGGTGTGTTGGGATGGGGGTCGAGATCAAAGATGCCAAGAAATCACCATTGGCCCCCACCCCCAGGGCCACCAGACCTCCCTGGCTGGATGTGTACACAGGCAATGCCCAGTTTTATTAAAATAATCAAACAGTCATTGGGGACTGGCTGGGGTTTTCATCTACCCTGGCTCCTCTCCCTACCCCCCCCCCCAATGTATTATTTTGAGGGTCGAGTTGAAGAGGTCAATACAGGCGTAAACAGTCAGGATCTTAGTCTGAGCAGACCCAGATTAGAGCCCCGAGGGCTTGGGGTAAATGTCAGGGTTCCCGGTCTCATCTCCCGTACCCCCTCACCCTGTGCTTTTGTGGGGCTCTGATTAGCGACGTGGACCCGCAGGCCCAGGTCTGGGTATCGGGATTAAGGAAGGGGAAATGTCCCGGAGACCAGCAGCCGCCTCGGGGTGATCCTCTGTGGCCGCTGGGACTAGACGGAAGGCAGGCCTGACACATCGCTGCAGAATTCCAAAGTGAGTTGTCCAGCCCTAACTGCGGGCGGCCTCGGAGAACGGCAGCCGGAGCACTTGCTCCCGTCCCCATTCCACCTTCCAGGTTTGTTTGCACACGGCCTTTCGCCGAGGCTGTTTATTTATTTGTGAAAACACCCTCGCCCTTCCACAGTGTCAGCTCCCAGGACCTGGGGCTTGCTAAGGAGGAGACCCCGGGCCAAGGACGGGAAACAAACATGGCTTCAGGCTGAGGCTGAGTGTCTGCATCTCTGGCAAAAGGAAAGGGAAATCCAGAAAGACCTCTTCAATCCCTGTAAATTCTCAGAGATTTGCGGATAAAATAAATTCCCATAAATAACCCGCCGGCCCCTCTGAGAGGGAAAATCCGGACTCCCCCAAGCCATCGCCTGGCCAGAGTCGCGGAAGTGTGTGGAGCGGAGATGGTGCGGGCCACCAAGCAAAATGGGGATTCTGAAGCCCCCAGGGGGAATCTGTTCCTGCCAGGTGACACCCGAAGGCAAAGTGCAGGAGTGTGCACCCTCCTGTGGCCCTGAGAGCCAGTACCTGAGAGGGGGGATTCGCAGAGCCGCGTTGGGGCGGGGAGTTTAGGGGGTTGGGGGCAGGCAAAGAGTCGAGAGAAACCTATTCCCCCCCTCCTCCCCAGAGCTTTCCAGGGCGACACTCACCTCCAAAAATCCCACCTCTTCTATCCGGTGCAAAAGCCAGGAGTGACGCCTCACTGGGGTGGGGGGCTCAGGTGAAGAGTTCGGGAACAGGCCCCCAAAAGAGATTCCTTTTAGGCCAAACCTTCTTCCAGCTTCTGTCAAGAGTAGCATGTACCTCCCAGCTCGAAGTTGGTTTGTGGTCTTCGACAAATTAAATATTACTGTTTATTACCAGGCATACCCCAATAAAATAAAGAGGCAACCGGGCGATACCGGCTATCTCACCAGCCGCTGCACCTATAGGACTTGGAGACGTCACGAGTCACGCAACCCGTCCGCGCTGTCACGCTCGACTGGGGGGCAGTGGCGGGAGGTTAATTTCTCTCCATCTTCGCCTATCAGTCCCGGGTCTGCGCAGCCACAAGTCCCGGACGCCTGGGCCACGGGAATAAATAAAGAAATAAACAACCCCCGCGCCCTCTGGGGAAATGGGGGTGGCAAACTTCAGACACAAATTGAGCCAAGATCGATTTTCTTAGGGAGGGGAGGGGGCCCTTTCGCGAAGGGAGGTGGGAGCCCACTGCAGCCCACGCTTGGGAAGCAATCTGGCGGTTTCAGGGGGGACGAGGAGCGTCCCCTTATTATTTAAAAATTATTTTTTTGAGGAGGAGCTCTGGGCAAGGGAATGTTGGGCGTCTCTAGCCGGTTCTGTATGGGACGGGCTAGCTCAGGGTCCCGCGCAGGCCAGCTCAGAAGTAATGACTGGGCTATCGCGGAGGGAAATGACACAGAAGCGTTGGGAGGGAGACGGAAAGTCGGGGCCTGAGTGTTCCTTGCGGAGAAAAAGTCCATTCTGCGAAGGGTCCTTCAGCTAAGTTGTGGGGTGCTCCTGCGCCCAGCGCTGCGGGCGGGGCAGGGTGCGAGGGGGTGATGCGGTGGGCATGGAGAGAGGCGATTTCTGCAGAGAAAAATGATAGCTCCGGGACTTGCCGAGGGACGAGGAGCCCTACTTTGTTTTGTAATAACGTTTATTATTGTTTCTGTCCTCATCGGTGGGCATAACTTCCACGCAGCCCCGTGGAGGGTGCGCGCGAGCTTTTTGCACGCCGCTGGGAACGCGCTGGGTCCGTTGGGAATCGCGGTGCGTAGACGCCCCGGCGGCAGCGGGAGAGGAGAGGAGGCCTGCCCTGCACGGAGCCGCGAGCCAGCGCCGGCCTTCCGGAGGGTAAGTTCCCCGCCAAGTGCCCCGAGGGAGCCGGACTCTGCAAGCTGGACTTGCCCCCAGCTTCGGGGTTCGACCCCGGCTTTCGCGCGCCCCCAGTCCCTAGGGCTTTCCGAAGCCTGGCCTGGCTCCAGGCCTGGTTCTTCAGGGGCTGGAGCGGCGGCAAAAAGTGCAGGAACGCGGTCCCTGAACCCCCTAAGGAGCTAATGAGGTCAGGCCCGCGGGGAGAGCGCGCGGTCGGTTCCAGCGGCGGATGCGGGCGCCGGGGCCAGCGGGCCGCACACTCCGCCGCTTCCAGCAGGCAGAGCCCGGGCCGCGCTCCGGCCAGGCCGCAGTGGCTGCCGTGAGCTTCGCTTTCGTTCCCCAACGTATTCGTCACGATCTTTCCCCCAATCCGAGGCCCATGGGCGCAGCGTAGGCTCCCAGAGGCCAAGGGCGCAACCTGAGGCCCTAGACCCGAAGCCTGGAAATGAGTTGCTATTTGACCTCTGGGCCGAGGTGGGCCAGAAGCCGAGGCCTGGGTCCCGCCGGGGCTGCGATGGGAAGGCGAAACCCGGAGCGAGGCGAGTCCCTTTCCATTCCACTCCCTTCTCCCCACTCCCTGGTGCGAGGCCCACAAGCGCCCCGCGCACGCTCACAAAGGATCCCACCAGCTCGGCCCAGGCCCCTTTCCCTCGGGCGCTGGAGGCCGCGCCGGGAGAGGGAAAAGAAGACGGGCGAGATGGGAGACTATTGCTTCTTCCCCCAGTCACGGGGCAGTAACTGGGAAAAGGCTGCCAGCTCACATCCCCTCCTCCGGCCAGGACTGTGTTCCCAACCCTGACCCGCCAGCGCCGTCTGCTCCCCAAAACTGTCTTCCTCGTTTCACAGCGTTCCTGCCCTGGTCCCGATACTGCTGTGGGCAGGAGAACGGGGCTCCTACTTGCAAAGTCAAAACCAAAACAAAAGCGAGGACCGGCTGCTGTTGACCTTTTTTTTCCCTTTAGTCTTGCCTAGTTATTTCTTTTGTTTTGTTTTTTTGAGAAAGTCACCATCTTCTCTCCAAAGAGAACTCGATTAAGAATCCGCCCCATCTCTGCGGCT